TGGGGCACATGGCACTCTGATATTCTCTCCAAAGGGCTGTGGAGCTCCACAGATGGCTTTGTGGGTACAGCCCACATGCCTCCTCTCTGGTCTTGTTTCTGCTTGATCCTGCAGCTTTGCTTAGCAGATGTTCTGTGTTACTAGCATCTCTCAGTCTCAGGGATCTCCAATGGACCTTCCACTCCTTCTGCTTTCAGAGGCACCCCACAGGGACTCTGACCTTGGTACACTTAGTCTGGCCTCCCAGGATGTCCTTTGAAATCAGGTGGAAGCTTCCACAAACCCCTAGCTCATTCCTACTGCATTCCTGTAGAATCAGCACTGTCATGTCACAGGACTAAATCCATCAGGGTCACTCCAAGTGAATTTTAGGAATAAAGACATAGACACAGAAAGTACCTTTTCTTTGGGTTCAGTGACTGGTCTTCAGCAGCAGCTCCCACAAGGGGGGGCAAGCAGGCAAGAAAGAGAACTAGGAGGATGAGATGAACTGTTTTACTGGTGAGAAGCCATTGAAATTATGCAAGGAGTCAGGTTTACAAAGGAATAGGTGAAGGTAACTCAAGCCCCACAGGAGACGCCTTCAGCTGGAGCCATGACCCATTATCTGAGTGGGCAACACCCAAGTTCCTGAAACCTGGCACTGCCAAGCCAGAGAGGAGGCAATAATTGGTCAGAACCTGGTGCATCAGGACTTGAAGGCATCTGCATCCATGGCAGCTCAGGACCCAGCACCACAGTGTTGATGCCAATGTCTGCCACCCTCTTGAAGAGTAGGCAAGTATCCAGGAGCCATGGCTGAGGGGGTTTCTGTGTGTCTGGGGAGGTGACATGGTGAAACAGCTCCCTCCACAATCCCAACCCCCATAAAAATAATCTGATTTTTATTTTCCATCAAAAGTTTTATAGAAAATGTGTTTGACAGATTCTCATTAAAATAAGATCAAAAACATAATATTCATTCTTTTACTCAATAAAAAAAATGGTTACACGCAGGACAACATCGTCTTATTGATGGTTAAAGAAACAATCTACTGTACACCCTTAGGTTACTCAAAGGTAATGATTTCCATATTTAACATAAACATATTCCACATCTGTAAGTGGATAACAAAGAAAATGTAATTTATGGGAAGGTGTTTATAACACAAGTCTTCAGACTGTATTAAACCCCTATGAACAAGTGTGAAAAGATACATCCAAAATTCTGTTGTCACCTGTACAGTCTCTTGTGTGTGTCCTGGAGCTGCTGCCCATTCTCCTGAGCAGGACGCTCACAGGCCCTGCAGGTGCAGCAGCCACAGCACCAGCCCCCAGGGAGGGCAGCCTCCAGGTGCAGCAGGAGGAGCTACAGAGCCCAGGGAATGCTGAACACCAGGCTGGGCTCAGGGGGGAAAGTGCAGAGCCTTGGAGGAGGCCAGGTAGGCCTGAGCCAAAGCATGGACACTTGTGTGCAAAGTCAGTCCAGGGCATGGCCAGGATGTCCACAGAGACACTTTGTCGCTCTTTGCTGAGGACTCAGGCCAAAGAGGACTTCCAGGGAGTGGTCACTTTGTAATCCGCAAAACAGACTCTAAGGTACCATGCTGCCCTCCTGACTGCCAGGGTACTAGTAAGGTCCCTCCTGCACACTGACACCACCTACTGCCACCTGATGCCCCAGAGCACTTCCTCCTGCCTTTGTCCAGTGATATCCCTCTCACTATCCATCAAAAACGTGGAGAGAGGACTCACTTCTGGTAAAGTGAGAACACACAGGGTGTCACTCATGTTAGTCTTTCTCTCTATGTCCCAGGAGAGAGGTCACTGTCCCATACTGACTCAGCAAGAGCATTAGCAGTATCCAGTCTGGCACCATCAGGACCAGGCCTGGCTGCTGATCTCCTGCTGCCTCCTGCTGCCCTCTGCACACCCTGCCAGCCTGGGAGGGCTGGGGGCAAGGACACAGGTCATTCTGTCCACCAGCAGCCACACTTCCTTCAAGGAACTTGAACTTCTTCCTTTCCCCACTAGGGGACAAGCCTCCACTCAGAGGCTGCTTGTGCACAGGGCTGCTGACAGTCTGAGGACCCTCAGGGGAGCAGGTTGGGGACAGCTCTGAAGTCACACCCTCCCTCCCCCTCTCATCCCTTCTCCCTGGATCCTGGGCTCCTCCAGTGTCTCTCCTCTGCACTCCTGCCTGGGTCTTCTCTGTCCTGTCCCTTCCTACTCTGAGTTCATACCTGTCACTCCTCACTTTCCACATGGCTGTCCTCATGTAGGTCACAACCCTGTTCTCCTGCACATCCTGTATGTGTGACCACCATGGTCCACTATGAGAAGAGTCCCTGCATCATATGAACTGTGGAGCTGCCACAGGCACTTGTGTCCTTCTAGTCTGAGGAGTGGCCACCAGCATGTATGGATGGCTTTGTCCTGTAGCCATGCAGTCACTGAGCCAGCTCTTTTGCCCTGTATGGGGAAACAACCATACAGAACTTCCCATGCCCAGGTCTGGACATAGAAATTCTATTTGGACCACAGAACAACTGCCCATCTCTATGACACTTGCTTCTCTCTTTCACTGGAGCCCTTCACGTCTTCCAGTGTCCTGTGCAATGGGAAAGCCACTGTTCCAGGTAGCAGGAGGACCCTGTGCAGGTCCTGAACTTCATGGTGCTCATGCTCAGTCAAGAGAGTGGAGAGGCAGCCATGGGTTTAGGCAAGATATGCCAGCTTTACCTGCCTAGGCTCAGGGTGTCTGAACTTAGAGTCCCTTGCACAGGGTGGCACACACCTGTAATCCTGCCTCCTGCTGCCCTCTCACTATCAATCAGAAACGTGAGACTGAGGGAGGAGGACTGCAGGTTTAAGGGCACCCCAGGAAAATTATAGAACACAGTATGTAAACAAAAGGGAGCTGATTTGGATGTAGTTCATCGTGACCTAGCATGTGAGAACCCTGACTGCATCACTGCAGCTGAAAAAATAAAAAATAAGTAAATAAATAAATAAGAAAATGAATAAATAAATAAATATGAAAGCATATGTTTAACAAAAAGTCAAGAAATACCTATATTCATAGAAATATTCATACTAGAGTTACAGAGTAAACACAGACTTGTCATTGGATTTATATTTTAAATATTACATATGTGACATGGAGTATTCCTTTAGATGTAAATTGAACTGTGGTAGAGATGAGGTTCTGTGGATCTTTGCTGAAACCCCTCTCTGGTCTAGCAGGGTCTCTGCCCAGGACAGTGAGCTCAGCACTGAGTGCAGAGCCACGGGAAAGCTGACTCCTGGTCTCTGAACTTCCACTGGCCATGGCCTCTCTGCTTGGCTCAGTCCCTGGGAGTGAAGTACCTTCCTCCCCTGGCTCCCCTGCCAGCCAGCCTAAGGGCAGGGCCTCTACTTCCACAGGTCCTCACCAAACTGCCCAGGAGAACCTCCTCTTCAGAGCCCAGGGCCAGAGCCTGCAGTTCTCATTGAGCTCCAGCCTTGGGTGAGCTCCTACCCCAGCCTTTCCCATCTACATCATCAGCAAAGTCCTTCCTTTATCAGATGCTCTGCACACATTCCCATAATTGTCCACCTGCAATTTGTCACTTGCTAAGGAGAAACTTGACCTGATTGTACTTTTCCCAGTCCCACAGTAAAGATTTCATTGTAGTCTCTCTTCCCTAAGGAACTTAGCACAAGCACAGGGATGTTTAAAATAGGGTGAAGTTTTAAACCTTCCACTTTCCCTTTAATTTACTGCTCACCAGCTCTGTCCTGCTGTTTGTGGTAGGAACAGGTGAGCCCTCCCAGACCAGGGAAGGAGGAAGTATCATGGGACAGTTGATGATCCCAGAAATGATGTGTAACTGAGGGAGGGAGGGAGTGTCTGGGGCTCTGACTCAGAGGTAGAAAAATGTGCAGCATGCACCAGGCCTTGGATTCAGTCATCAGAACAAAAGGGAGAAATTAAAGAAAAAAAAAAAGAAAGAAAAGAAGGAGAAGGAGAAGGAGAAGGAGAAGGAGAAGAAGAAGAAGAAGAAGAAGAAGAAGAAGAAGAAGAAGAAGAAGAAATGACAGAAAAAGAAAGAAAAAAGAAGATTATGGACAGTTATTGGGATGGTTTTTTGATAACTCTGAGAAGAACAAGGGTGAAGAACATTGACCTCCTTTATTTCTGTAAAAGTTACAAGAGGACCTGATGGAGGACATGATGTGTAGAGACACTGCTGCCCTCTTGAGGTCATGAGGCATTACTAGGACTTAAAATCACATGTGGTAATACTGGTAAAGCAGAATTATATTCAGAATCTGGATCTTTATTGTTTTTACTAAGATTTTGACCATGCCCTATATTCTCCAAAATTCAATCTCTAAAATACCTTCATAGTTTGTAAAATTATTCTTCCTTCTTTTATAAGATAGTTAAGTTGAAGAGCCTGGCTGGCCTTAGACTTGCTGGTCTGGAGAAGATGGGCACCAGGATGGGTATGAGTGTGCTCTGTGGGACTCTGAAGTAGGGAGGGCTGAGTCCATGGGTGGGTCCCTCTGCCCTGACTCTTACCCATGCTGTGCCAATGTCCAGAAACCCCAAACACATCAGTGAGTTTATACATCTTCCTCTCTTGCTGCATTAATTTCTGTTTTTACTTCCAAAACATAAACTAACCCTTTGTTTCTGTAATGCCTCCTCCTCCTCCAAGGGTCACCAACACGAAACTGTGGTTAAGACACAAGGACAGCCCATCATGAACCAGAAAGGGACTACAGATCACCCCTCACAGCTCCGGGGGCTGACTGTGTCCTGTGGCCCCAGGGGACCCTGTTTACCCCAAGAAAATCTGAGCTTCCCTGGTCTGTCCTAGTACACCTGGACACACTGAGCCTGTGTTGATTGACCAGGAGGAGCCTCCCTGCAGCTGTGCCCAGCCTGCCCAGCCCTGCTGATTTGCATGTGCCCACAGCACAGCCCAATACCTTGAAGATTTCTTAAGAGGCTACTCACACCCTGTGCAGGAGTCAGTCCTTATCAGGACACAGCATTGCCATGAGGGCCCCTGCTCAGCTCCTGGGGCTCCTGCTGCTCTGCCTTCCAGGTAAGGTGGGTACAGCACTGGGGATTTACTAGTTACAGTTTGGTCCATGCTGCCTGGTACTCAGGAAAGTTCTCTTGTAACATAACAGTCATAAGAATATTTTTTTTATGTTTCCCATGGCAGGTGTCAGATGTGACATCATGATTACCCAGTCTCTATCCTCCCTGCCTGTGTCTCGTGGACACAGAGTCATTCTCTCCTGCGTGGCCAGTCAGGGCATTAGCAATAATTTACACTGGTACCAGCAGAAACCAGGGTAAGCTCCTAAGCTCTTCTTCAGGTATGCAAATGCTTTGGAATCTGAGGACCCCTCGAGGTTTAGTGGCAGTGGATCTGAGACAGATTTCATTCTATCACCAGCCTGGAGCCTGAAGATGTTGCCATTATTACTGTCTACAAAACTACAGTTACCCTCCCACAGTGATACAGGCCATGACAAAAACCTCCAGGGAGCAGAAGTGTGAGGCTGGGCTGCCCCAGCTCTTCCTCCTGCTGCCTCCACCTGCTGAGCGCACTTCTCAGAAGCAACCAGGCCCTGAGCATTACAAGGAGGGTCAGTCAGAAGAATAGGGCGGGGGGTCTTCTGTACCCTGACCCTTCAGCTCAGCCCCAGCAGGTAATGAGCTCACTGTATGATAAAGAAAGTAATTTAAGACAAGAAAAGCCTGAATTAAGCAGTATCAGGGGTTGTGCAGCAAAGATAGGCCTCTCCATGTATTCCACATGGGAATATTTTAAGAGTATGATTCTCAGTGTAGTTTAAGTTCCCAGCAAAACTGGGTGAAGTACAGAGTTCTCGTGTGTCCCCTCTGCTCCCAGAGCCCCTCCATCACCACCCCAGACTCTGTTGCTTTTGTTACAATTTGTCAACCTCCACCCATGTCTACAGGTCACACCAGTGTCAGTTTGTGCATTCTGTGGAAATAGACAAGTGGACAGTGACGTTTTTCCAACAATGTGGCCTGACACAGTGCAGGTTCTGCCCTCACACTATCTGAGGGACAGCTACTCCTCACCCGCCTCTCTGTTGCAGACCTTCATGATTTCCCATCCTGTAGTTTCACCTGGGCTGAGAGACACATGCCTGGCACTCACAGCATGACGATGTTCAGACTGGCCTGTCACCCTGAGTGCTGTGCACACAAACCTCCTCCAGGAGTTTCCACTACAGCATAGAGAGTTGTTTCCTTTTTTTTATTTTTCAAGTTTTTCTTTGAATTTGGTATTGAATCCAGACAGGCACTACCACTCAGCTACATTCATGGTCATATTTGAATTTATCTCTATCTATATCTATCTCTCTATCTATCTATCTACCTATGTCTCTATTTATTTATTTATTTTTTGAGACAGGATTTCTCTAAGGTGCTTGCTAGGTTGCATGGACATTAACCCTGTGTCTTTTGGCCTGTGGACGTGAAGTTGCACCTGCTGTCCTCTCTTGGGCTAAGAGACCTGGAGACCTGGATTGGGAATGCACCTGGTCTCTCTCCTTCTGAGGTTTGTGGCCTCTTGGACTGAGATCCAAACAGAGATGGGCAAGGCAATGCTGTTGACAACCTGTTTTGACAGATTATCAGGCCTTGTAAGAAACAAAGTGGGTGCATTAGGAACAATTCCCTTTTGGAAGAGGTATGGCCAGACATTTAAAAATGGGTCAGAATTTAATATAAGTACTTTCCAAATAAATGATCATTTAAAGGTCATTAGTGAGCATCAACTGCCAATAATTAGCATGAATAAACAAAGATTCTACATAATCATCTACTCCCTCATTTAGGCTTATGAACAATGTCATGGAGATCCCTCCCTGGACTCCTTTAAAATCAGTCTCTTTTCACCCATTTCATGTGACCACTGGCACTTGAAGGCATCCAAATCACCAAGAGGGCTGAACAGTGTTGACCCCAATAATTCTATCCACATCATGAGACCAGACTGATAGCCAACATCCATCTGATCCCAGTGGACCTGACCGACACTGGAAGGCTGGTAAGGTTCTCATCTGTGCCTTTGCTTTTAGTCCTGTGTCAGCCAAAAACATGTGTAGATCTCCTGAGAGCTTTCATGGGTGCTATAATTCTTATATACTACATGATTCAACCAAGCAACTTATTTACAGAAAAATAATCAACCTAGTGCACTTGACCATGATATTATCCTAAACGCAGGTGCAGTGGTGTTAAAAGAAGAGAAATGCAGCAGTCTGGCTGGGCACAAAATCACGAGCCTCTCAAGCAGGAACAAACTTTATTTTTTGAAACTGCCTCCAATACCCGATACGTGCCCGGGAAGATTGCAGATCAACGCACATGGCGTTCTCCAGGATCCCAAGAGGAAGTTCCTCCTCCGGAATTCCCTCCTACCGCACTTCCCCAACCAATGGGAACTCTCCAGGAGTCCTGTAGCAGGCCAAGGTGGACAGGAGGAGTCCAATATCCATATGAATGCAAATCTTAACATAATCATATCATCTCAATGGCTTGCTAGCATCACCTTTCAACCAAAAATGCCATGCATCATATTACTTGGCTGTGGCTCTTAGCAGAGAAACCCACACAAATCAAGCTATGCTGGCCCTGGGCCCCATGTAGTTGATTCCCTGTCCTGCCTGGTGTAGAGAAGGCTCAGAAGCACTGACCTGTGTGGTTCTGTTTCTCTCAGACATCAAATATTTGCTCTTCAGAATTGCGGGGTCATCCCCACCCTCTCTATTGTGCCAATGGAGCACCTTGGAAACTTCTATCTGCCCACTTTGGTTTTCTGGTCAAAAGTTCTTGACCTAGAGGTTTGTCATTGTCATTCTTCCATTAAACTGAGTGAAATGATGAATTCATGGTCATCAGATCCCATAGGACAAGGGTCTAATTGTTAAGAAAGGGTTTCATTTTTGAGGCAAGGGTTATAGATCCTGGTGATCAATGGCTAATAGGAATCTATCTACACGTTTTAAGAAAGTGACTGGAAAATGTGTCAATTCTGAAAAAAACTTCAGGAATGGTCCTCCTGATGACATTGCTACTGATGACACGTGGTAGGACAGTTGAACAGGTGTCAGCATGAAGCTTCAGGTGATGTAGGAAGTGGCCAGCACAGGTCCAGGCAGCATCTTGAGACACAGGGAATGTGACCTGCACAGAGAGACAGGGAGATGTGACATCTAGCCACAGCCTCCTGGTCAGCCTCAGGCTGAGAATTATGGGTCTAGTCTCTTCCTTCCTCACTATTATTTCATAGTGTCACCTAGATATAACAGAAGCCATCCTGGCTGCTTAGGCAAGGTCTGATCATTGCTGTGGACTAGGATCAGGAGGCAGGAAGAGCAGATTTAGGTTACTTGCAGCCCTAACCCCCTCATCCCTGGGCCTGTGTGTGCCGAGGTCAGGAGACACAGCCTCATGTGTGGCAGGTGTGTCTGTGAAGCTCTAAGCTGCTCTGGCCACCTGCTCTCCTCCCAGCAGCACAGCACCAGCCAGGGGTGGGCTCTGAGGCCTTCACCTCGGGATCCTCCTGCGTTGATCTCAGACAGGTGGGGTTAGGGGAGCCCAGCAGTGAAAGAGCAGCCCCTGCTCATCAGGTGAGAGCAGGTGGACTCCAGGGAGAGCAGGCCTGCTGGGGGTGGGACCCTTAGGTGTGTGGTCACCACTGCTGGTGCACACACACACTCACACACACACAGACATACACACATAGACACACACACACACACACACACACACACACACTTACACAGACTCACACACACACAACCCACAGTAGCCTGAGATTAAGGTTTAGAGAGAAATCATGAACATAGCTCATAATGGTAGACATAACCTTCCAATTCTCTCATTTGAGGACACACAGTGGCTACTGTGATGACCCAGGCTCCTCCCTCCTGCCTCCCACACATCCACCTCCTGCAGGTCCACACAGAGTCTGCTACAGACAGATGGACACATTGATTCTTGAGAAGGCCGGAGAGTCTATGTGGCTTTTGACCTTTTGGGCTTCCAATTGTCTCTTTGTCTCAGGCAACTTCAGTTTCAGGCAGAGGGTCAGAGACAGATTTCATGCTGCACATCAGGAGACTGGAGGCTGAGGAGGCTGGTGTTATTGCTCTGATAAAGCTGTAAAAATTAAGTATAAAAATTTCAGATATAAATCCCCACAAACCTCCCTGCTGGGTGGCCCAGCTGCCACATGTGATGCTTGTCAGGAGAGAGGCACTGCAGATTCTCTGTCTGTTGGAGAGAAATATCCTGGGATCTCAGGGGCACAGAGCATAGCAGGATTACAGGAGAGGAGGCCCCATGAGGCCTTGGCATCCTGCCACTTTTGCCATCCCACACTTAATAAATGCCCACAGGAGAAACCCAGCCTGCTTTGAGGACTCAGCCATGTCAATCAACCTCACAGTTCAAGGCAACTCCCAAAGCCCAGTCAGGTCCTCTTCCCTAGAGAAGCCCCTCTGCCAGGGTCATGCCAGAGTTCTGTGGACACTCAAGATGTTAAAGAGGAAACACAAAAAACAGGTAAACTTTAGCTCACTTAAAAGTCCTAACCTGTCTCAGGAGTTGTAGATCTCCTTTTCGTTTCTTCCAGGGTTTCTAAGTGTGACAAATTTGAGTGTAAAGTAGTTATTTTATGATTATTTTCTTCTGAACTTAGTGCAGTGATTCTGATGGTCTGCTGAGGCCTCCTACATCCTAAGTGAAACTGGAAGTTCATTTTGTAAACTGAATATAATGTATGGGTTTCAACTTTTTTACGGAGTTTTCAACATCTAGATCTAGAAACAGCAAAACCTGTATCCTAAATGGACACAAATATTGAAAATAAAGAAAAAGCTAAAGAAATGATGATGGTCAAAGCCGAGCTCACCATGACTTAGAGTGAGGGGCTCCATATTCCAGGGTAAGGGTGGGGCCATGATGGTTGATTCCTCCTGTTTTAAACTGTGTTCTACTAATTACAGTGATCCATGAACAAGTGTTTTAATATTGTATAATAGAATTTTTTTTAAAAGACTTGAATTAAATGAAAAAATTATCCTACTTAGCAAAATATACTGTGTTTGAGGTTTCCACTTCCAACTTAACATATTCCATGAAGAATACAACTAAAATTAAAATAAGTAATTTGTTAGTGTAACATAAGGAAAATATTGCAGAGCATTTAGAAAACTCAATCCTTCAAATTGAAAAGAATGTTCTCATTAAATAATTTTTTTATATCTTAAATCAATTTCATCAATAAAAAGGTGTTTTTTGTTTATTTTTTTGTTTTTTCAACTAATGAGCGTGTCAGTCTAACAATATTTAAGTAAGAATTTCTAGGAATTTTTTTTTCCTATTGAAGCATAAAAAATAAAATAAATTAAGAAAACTCAGGTACTCTCAACCACTGAGCCACATCCCCATCTCTATTATTATATTTT